CATTTTGTCTCTCATAGTTGAGGTATACCTATGATGAAAATTACAGGCCTCTCTCATCTTTTTAAGTGGGAGAACTTGCACAACTGGTGGCTGACTAAATACTTTTTTGCCCCACTGTACCATTACCAAGCCAGTCAGCTTTCATCCTATACCTGAGCAAATTATTTTTTCTTTGGTGGACTTCTACATCTCTCTCTATTAAGCTTCCCTTGTGATTGCTAAATTTGCATGTTAATTTGGTAACAATTATGTCCCAGCAGCTATTAAACTGTTTAAAGCCTGGGTTTGATGCTATATGGTGCTCAGTTGTGTACTTATAAGGAATCTTCTAGCTTAGAAGCAATCTAATCAACTTTCTTGAAAATCTTACTACAAGTTCTCTATTCAACTTCTAATGCCCTAACATGACTAGAATTGGGTTGCATTTCCCTTGGGGCCTGATTAAGACTTTCTCAGATTCTGGCTGAAGCAAGTCTACTGAGGAACTTCCTTAGTTCATCTCACCTTGCTGGACAGGTTCTCTTCCAACCTAAGAAGACAAATTAATGATGATTTGGCATGTTGTGGCCTTACCTTGTCAGCACTACCTTGATAAAACCCTGGCCGAACTAAAGCAGAGGATTTGAGATCTAGATATTCAAAATGACAGAGCCAAACTCTCCCATCCCTTTAATAGCACAATTGCTCCTCCTCCCTGGTCTGTCTCTAGATATTTCTTTAACATCTTATATGTTCCACATAGGAGATCATTTACTTTGGCCTAAATTGGGGCAACAACTAGTAGATATATAAGCCTCCCATATGAAAGCTGAACTTGTTCCTGTTCAGACTCAGAGGTAGAATCTGTTTCACATGCACTATCAAAATGTATACCCAATGGCAATCAAGTTTAATACTTCCAATTGTTAATAACTTTAATTGCCATTGTGACCAAGAAGCTGTTACTCTTCCCCTAGCTGACCACTCTTCAGAAACCTCTAAGAAGGTTGCAAAATTCTTATCAATAGCTATAGTTGTTAGAAATCGTCTGATTCTTCCCTCATGGCATTAATTGTTAGATGCTAATTGCTTTAGGATTTTCTCAGAATTTTAAAATTTCTTTTTATAGTTATTGCGTTATGTGTTGGTCTTTCATTGTGTTTGGTCTTCGACTGTAAATAAATTTATTGTCTTTATTAAATCCATTCTGTATTTTTATCCCTTTCCTCTCATCTATTGAGCTATTTTTAAGGTTGGTGTCTGGCTTCTAAACAATTACCTGTTCCACCCAGTTTTGGTCATTGGCAAATCTAATAAGAACTCTCTTTACTTCTTCATCTACGTCATTAGTGAAAATATCAGATAATATATTATTGATATCTCATTTCACTTTGATGTGGAACAACTGATGAATATCTTTCAGTAGGTTTCCAAGTCAACTGACAAATGCTTTGCTGAAGTCAGGACATTTTATGCTTACAGCATTCCCAAAATCTACTAAGGCAATTAACTAATAAAAAAATGAAATTAAGATTATTTTAGCAAAACATTTTCTTAAAAAGTTATTAGGACTTCTCCTAATAACTGAACTGCTTTCAATATGCTTACAGATTGATTACTTTATTATCTGCTCTAGACTGTTCCCAGGTACTCATGTCACAATAACTGGTCTGTAATTTAATTCATTCCTTTCCATTTAATAATGCATTTATTTTGCTTCCACATTAGACAGTAGGCATAATTTTCATACCAAAGGGGATGAGGGAGAGAAAAAGAAATGCATATATTTGAACTAGTCCCTGAATCAATACATACGCATTACGCACAGAAATAGCTATTTGTATCAATTGGTTTATTGGGGCTTACCTGGCAGACTAGATGAACTGGATCCCGACTTAATACTGGAGCTGGACAGAGAAGTCCAGTCATATGCCGATTCTGTCCTTTTCAGAGCTTCTTGATAGTTCACATACAATTGCTTCCCATACTACACAAAATATGAATGCTGCTTGGTTATACCATTTCCAGCAGTATGATTCAAATCCAAGCTTAGCCACGTCAATCACATTGCATACTCTAATTCTACAAGAGCACGTTTAACAGTAGCAGGACTGTCTGGGTTTGGATTAAGAACTGGAATGTTTTTTTTTAAACTCTGATTTGGCTAAAAGTCTAAAAAAACAACTTTTTTGTAAAATAACTGGCTCAGTAACATGGGCAGACATACACAAACTATAACAAAAATTGATAACTTACGTTAAGTTACTAGGTCCAAGCAATAATTCTTTCCTGACATACCAAATGATAATTTTCTAGACACCTATCTTAGACTTATGTAGGTATATATTAACATAGTAATATAAATAAATTCATGAAGAGTAAACCAGCAACAGTTGGTTTCAAAAATGGATTTAGCTAACAAAATAAAACTAAGGCTATATACATGCACATCAGGCCCCTAGGACTGTTTATTCTGACAAAGATTTTAAAAAGAGGGTTACAATTACAGATCAACTGAATAGTGTCACTAAGAAGAAGCAATTAAATAAAAATGTTAGGAAGCTGAACATATTTGAGAATAAATAAAGGGGTTCCACCCATTGGTTGCACAAGCAGAAGGCAACCTGAGCAACCCTTCCCTTCATCTGAAAGATGAGTATCCTCAGAAGAGAATGGGCCGTGTGGTCCTTAGCTTCAGCATGATGGGGTACAGGAAGCTGCCTGAAATTTGCCACAGGAATTTCCCCCCTCCTTTGCTTCCAGAATTCTGACACTGCCTTCAATTCATCTTGCCTAGGTATAGGCTGAGTCAAACAGACTTCTGATTTTACAGTTGCACTGTTAAGAAAAACAGCAAATTTAAAAAAGAAAAGATATATGGGCAGTGTGATTATGCCTCAGATTCTGCTCCTAGACAAATACACCGCATAAGTATAGCAAACTTATCATTCATGAAAGACATTAATCATAAAGTTACAGTTAGCTATTTAAGTGATCTCTTTCAAGTCCCTTGGGACGTTAGAGGTAGAATGGGGGATGCATTTTAGCATCAAAGGGCAGGGAGAGAGATACTGGGAAGCTGCAGTGAAAGTGTGCTGATAGCCAGGAAGTCTAGAGGACAAAGATGGATTAGCCAATTTAAACTTTCTGGGATTTTTTTTATGGCCAAGACAGTTGCTGGTAAGACATCTATTGTCAACGTTGATTTTAATCATATTCATTTCATTCTGTTTTACACCCTGGATTCTTTATTATTGTGAGTTTATTATTGTGAGTGAGACTGCTATGGGTCATAGGTGGGAACACTTGTAAATTGATACTCATTGCCATCCAGAATACAGAAATACAGGCTTTTATCTGCCTCTTCACCCAAGGGGAAAAAAAGCAACAGTATATTTATTCCTTGGTTGTTTCTGTTTCTCAATGATGCATATTTCAGAGAAAATTATATTCTGTCATGGTACTGGCTTGATTTAATTAATATTAACCAGTTCTTATTAAGAGTGGAACAACAGGGTGACAAACCAGGAGCAGATGACAAATTCTGTTCAAGTGTTTCCCAAAACTGCAGTGGATAAAACTAATAGTCATTCTGATATAGGATTAATGCTAAATAAAAACATGAACAGAAGGAGGTAATACCTTAGCAATACGGATGCCGTTTATCCACTGATGAAGGGTTCTGATATCATCACAACATAAATACTTAATATATTGGGATTTCTTCTGAATTTGGGGATGCTGAAAAGAGAAACATTTAATCTATTTTGATTGGATTAAAAAAAGAAGTAATTTCAGAACTAAAATGAATCATAATGGGGACCAGTTAAAGCATATTCAAAATTGATACTATTGTCTGTAATTACAAAAAAAGGAATTTCATTAAAACATTCTTTAATGTTACGTTTTTATATAAAGATTAGAGTAAATCCTCCAAATAAAATGAAGATATTGTCATCTTCTCTAACAGGGAACTAAAATCTGTACTTGGGTTAATTTTAAAAGAACATTAAAACCCCCTAAACGAAACAGCACTGGATGATATACCTGCCATGTTATGAAATCCATGGCACATAGAAACAAGTTGCATTTCAACTACTTTTTATAGACAGTTTTCTCTGATGTTGATTAATTTGTCATATCAGAAGTATTAATCAATAGTTACCTTTAGTACTAGACAATAGTCTGTAGGAGCTTTGTACTTGTTGCGATAATCTTGTCCATAGTAAACATTAACATGATCCAATTGAAGAAAGCAGACAAGATCTCGGGAGACCTATCAATAATGACACATTTGGTTTGGACAAAGATCTACAAATCACATTAACATAATTCTGTCAAGGCTACTGCTTCTATACATGCTTAACTGAATGAATAGTGAAATCTTGATATAACAGACCAATTATTTGTATCTGTTTATTTTTAAATTTACATCGTATCCTTTTGTTTAGGAGCATATAAAGCATTGCCTCCTTTTCCCCCCACAACTCTGTGAGGTAGGTTGGACTGAGCGTGAATGATGGCCCAAAGTCACCAGTCCAGTGAGCTTTTGTGATGGATGGTGGAGCAAAACCTAGCTCTCCCCGGTCTTAACCACTACTTCACCCTGGCACTCCAAAATATGGGGGGATGGGTTGTCCATTATTCCCAAATGTCCACTGAGCTGCATATTACATCATCTGCATACGTTTGTTATTTCTCTAGTATACCATTATGCAAATGACAATCCTTCACAGCGATTTGCATTATGGTATCATCACATAAATATAACATGCCATTAATATAAATTTAACTGCCTTGTTTGCACTACTTTGGATGCAACAGACTTGTCCATTATTTTGGGAGGAGGTTTGGGCAGAAATTTGGTCAGGTGCATCTGAAGTCTCCTAAAAAGAGTTTCTTTAAGCACACGCCAATGATGTATCCTGCTAAACAGTAATTGCCAATCAGTACCATCAGAGTGCCTGCTGTCGACTTTTAGCGATATCTTAATTCCCTCTGAGTTAAGAATTCACCTAACTTTCAGATCCAGCTTTGGAAGAAATCATCAATACTATATGCCATGGGTGTGTGATGGGTGGGGGGAGGATTACTGTAAGACCAATATAAAGCATTTTACTAGAACCTGTCAAATATGCAAGGAAGTGCAATTAGTTTTATACAATTACCTTCATGTATATAACATTTTATATGGCAATATGCCAACAGAGATCAGCAGGAAATGAACCAGAACAGAATTAATTCACCGTAACAGTTACAGGAAAGGGATACAACGGTGTCTTTATGAACTACTGCTTGATATTAAAACAGTAGTTCATCAATATATATTAGAAATTTCCATTCTCAGTTTAAGTCTTATAGGAGGGCCAGTAAGATGAAAGGCTTCACTGGATTACATTTACTCAAATACCCAAAGGTGCTCAAAAGGTCAACGACCAGCATCTTGCAAGTAGGTTTTATCTCGCCTTCCTGTTCTCTTTGGGGCACACAAAGGGTCTCCAGTGGGGGGAGAAGGAATTTGTTCTATCAATGGTGTGTGTTTGCTTTAGACAGACACTGCTGAATTTGCAGAGGCATCAACATAGATTTGTTTCTTTGGGAACAGGTTCTTTCAGAAACGTTATGTTAAATCTTTTACAATGGCCCACAAAGATGCAATTTCACTTTGAAAATAAGTAAATCAATAATTATCACTTGTACTCTTTTGCACAAACATCATAGCTACCCAAAGAAAAAAGAAATGCTTTTCGTTCTCTGAAAACTCTGTTGAGGGTGGTGATGGGAAATACTTAAAATTACTAAAAACCTCAAAATATAAAAACATACTAAAAAACTGAGATTATACAGAGGAAAGTAAACTAGAAGGGAAGACTGGCAAATGTGTATACGTGTACTCCCCCAAGTGAGTCCTGGGGTTCTATTTTTTTCCCTACCGCTGTAATTTCTATTGTGGTTGCTTGAACATGAACATGCTTGTTTTGTCCAGGCTCAGGACAACATTTTATAACATTGGTGACGGAAAACCGAAACCCATAGTTTCAAACTCAGAAGGCTTTTCAGAACGCTAGTGAAGGCTCAGGCCATGAACATTCCCAGTGTCGTATGATATTTCGAGGCCTGCCTCGTAAATGAATCATAAAAGCGTGCTTTACTGTGCTTTTTCTAGTAAAAGTCACAATCATGCCTGTTTGAAAAGGTGACCATGACATAAGACCGGAGAGGGATGTCACCTTTGCTTTTCCTTTTGGAACGTAGTAGATTCCCGAAGCTCGCAGAAGGAAGTAGCGCTTCTTCCAGGATTTTTTACCATCATCTTTCAGCCACAGGACTCCCTCAATTTCTGGCACTGTTACTGAACTTCCACAAAAGCACTCCTAGAACAGAGGGGTAAAGCAAATGTGAAAAATGAACTTTATGTATTCACAAGAACATTTCTTGTATTGCTTGTCTCTTCAGCATTTCCTTTTCTGTCTCTCAGAGTGAGAGGATGGGGAAACTTCAGCCCAAAAGGACAGCTATTTTGGCCTGTGGATGACTCAAGCAGGGAAAACAAATCTAGCTCCCTACCCCTGGTTTAGTATAAAAGACTCTCAGTTGTTTAAGCAGGCCTTAGTATTACGACGTACTTTTGTTGGATAATTTGTTTTTTAAGATTTCCAAGTATTTTCCTTCCAAATTTCTGCTTGGTCCTATTCCTGTGTAAACTGACACTTCCTCATAAAAGTTCTCAATTATGGCAGATAAATATTACAATACTCTTCATTATATTTCATGTGCCAGATAGATTTAAATTTTGAATTCTGTGGGTGGGTCCTGGACTATTTCAAGATATTCACACAGCAGCTTTCTCTTTTGTGGACAGAAGCAATAGTGAAACGTTTCTTATATTTTATCACTTTGTAGAAAGACTTACCTCCAGTAATACTTCCTTGTTCCTATCTGCCATTTCAGAGGTTTCTCTTTTCCCTAGAAGATAATTCTGCAATAAAGAAATTGAGGCTAAAGTTGAAGAATGTAAAATAATAGTAATCTTAGTCTCAATTTTTTAAAATAAAATTTTATTGCTTTTTAATTAATAACAACAACAAAAGAAAAACAAAAACAAAACTCAAAAATAAGACACTATCAAGAAGAAAAAAAATTCTCATATTTTCTTGATGCTAATAAAGAGCTTTTCTATATGGGAAAAAAGTATAAATTTATGAGAATAATATGAAGTCTTTTGACCTACCCTGAGTATTATACTATATACAAAGCATATACAGTACATGCATTCAGCACTGAAATACTGGCAGGCATGTTTATTACCAGATACAAAAACCTGGCCAGAAATTTAAATGCAGATATATTTTTAATGTTTCCCAGAATTTTAATGGGAGGAGGGGGAACAGAAACATCAAAACAGATTTAAGAAATACTTCAACTCTCTTTCAGGACATGGTTAATTTTTACTTCAATAAATTATATTCAATGAATTTTAGAGCATTAAGCACGTAAGAACAACCATCACAAAGGGAGCTTAAGCTTCAATGGATGGTCAAATGCAGAAAAAATAGCATTATACTCACTTGGGGATTTTTAAAAAGTGCGTATTTTTCTATACGTTCAACAAACATAAGCTTGTTTTGACTATCTCTTGTCCAGTTCAGGAGGTTTTCAACTAAGTTTTCATGGTCTTCAAAAATTCTCTCTGCATAATTACAGGAAATATAACAAACATTTTACATTCAAAGTCAGGTTGTCTAATTTTACAGTCTGAAGTCCTTTCCCTGATGTCATATGACGATGCATATGATAAATGATAAAACAGAAGAACATATATCTTCCATACTTACCAAACACAGGAAAAAGTCTATTTTCCAATTACTATCTACTATCTATGTAGTAGTAGTACTAGTACTATGTAGTACTACTAGTACTACTACTATGAACTATCACTCCATTATTATGGCTTTTGTAATGCATAAATATGTTTTTTTGTTGTAAGAACAAATTCTACAGATCTATTTTGCATACAAATGAATCTGTGTGTATGTAATCAAACATTCTATTCACTTTCTGGAATTAGGAGGCTATGATTTCAACCACGAGTGAAGTCCAACTGCACGGTTCTTGTATGAAACCTGATTTTGTCTGCTTTTATCCTGCAATCTAAAATCAATATAGATTTGATTTCATGTATCAGTGGAATGAGCTATCACTCCACGATTATGAAAAATACAAAGAAACATTTTTAAAAGGGGGAAGAATACTCACATATAAGAGTACAGAAACAGGAATTATTCTTATTACAAATAATATTTTAATTCTGTGGAGTGAAATGTACTGTAATAAAAATAAAACCAATAGATTGTACCATATTTGAAATGTTGCTCTATTCAGAAGGCATCCCAATATTTAAATAAATACAAAAAATGTTCTTTATATACAAAATGATGATGAAAGCAAATTATATACTGAAGTTATAATCCAAAGGCTCTATCCATATCAAGGCATTTTTAACAGGTCAAAAGTAGCAAGTCTAACATCAACCACTTGTAATAAATATGTTGCTGACTTTTAAATAAAAATATGGATAACAGCTTGTATAGGTAAAAGCAGTATGGTATAAACACCATGCAAATATGTCTGTATCCAGTCTGATATGCTACAACTCCCAAGGAAAACTAAGCCTCAACTACTTTAACTATTATTGTATTTCTGATTTGGTCCTTTGAAAGCTTGTGCTTATGTAATTGAAGTGGTAACACCCAAAGATTACAGAAGTTTTAGCAAACCTGGGACTCCCAGAATTATAAAAAGATCTTTACAAAAACTGCTAAGCTAGGAAAAGGGTGGCCCAAAGTAACCCAGCTGGCTTCCACGCCTAAGGAAGGACTAGAACCTAGCTCTCATCATTCATACGCACACACAATGCATGTTGCTCTGAAATCTAAAAAAGATCCATTTTCCCACCCACAATTGACAGACAAAATAAGCTGTCTTTTAAAATGTGGCATATGAACTCAGAAATCAGTAAAGAACCCTCAGACAAGATCATACATCATAAAAATTCTGAAACAGTTTGATACAATCAAGAAATCTGCATTACTAACCCATTTGTAATTCTGAGATTGTTTCTACCAAGGACCAGTCTAAGCTAAATCCACAATGTGATTTGTCCATCAAGTTGTCTAGCACTTGTCTTACTGTCTGTCTTTCATCTACCATCATTGTCTTGGAGCTGTCATCAGACATGTGGACTCTTATCACAAGCTGTAGCAGAGATAAAGGAGAAAGCATTAAACATAAGGCAGACGAAATTTCACAACAGAATTACCACCCCGGTACAGATAGTCCTCATTGAATGACCACTCATTCAGCAACTGTTCGAAGTTATAATGGGGCTGAACAAGGGGGATTTACGATGGGTCCTCATAGTTGTGGTTGTCATAGCGTCCCTGCAGTCACACAATTGCGATTTGGGCGCTTGGCAACTGGCTTGCAATTACGATGTTGCGGCATACTGTGGTTATGTGATCGCCATTTGTGACCTTCACTGCCAGCTTCTGTCAAGCAAAGTCAATGGGGAAGCCAGCAGGAGGTTGCAAATGGTGATCACGGGACCGCAGGATGCTACAACCATACAGGATTCGCCTAACGAGGGCAACTGGGACTGCTGCAACTGCCATCGTAAGTTGGTATGGTCACTTGACATCATGCTTTATGACCTCATTGCTTAGTGACAAAGTTGCCAGTTCCAATTACCATTGTTAAGCAAGGACTACTGGAACTAGATTGTAAGAATTTTCATTGATATGATTTTTACATGGGATGAAGTATAATTTAACATTTCCAACTCCTGTTAGTTCGAGATGATTCTACACTTTCCCCTAGCTCATATCTTTGTGTATCCTTTAGATGCCCTGCAAAGGTTCCCTGAGGCCTATGCTGCAGACTGGGAGCCGTGGAGGAGTTAGAGAGGAAGGGAGATAGGGTGAATGGATACAACTGGATACAACCCACACCCTGGAGTCATTAAAAAGGAACTTTCTGTTCCATACCCCAAGCTGAACATATTAACACTGCTTGATAACTAGAACTGCAATGTGACAGAAACTATAGAACTAGAATATAACCTAAGAAACGAGAGTCTTAATGCTGCATTTTCCTCAGTAGGAATGAACTGTTTGCATTGACTTTAAAAAATGTAAAAGAAGAACAACTTACCTTTTTAACTTGTGCTTCTTTAATCTTCTCTAAAGCAACCCTGATCTTTTCAGCCTTTAGCTTAGCAGCCTGTTCCTCCTAGGGAAAATAATTTCTGGCTTAACATTGGGCATATAACTGGACTGGACTGATATATATTCTTCTACGACAAAACCATTTAAAGCACTAGACACTTTGTTTTTTCCCTTAAAATCTATCATGTGCTCCTCCCATCTCCCCCCTTCCCAATTATATCGTCTAACAGAGTACTTCAAAGAACAGAATTGTAAGAACAAAAGACAGAATTCCGTTAAGTGCATTTCTACTATAAAAGTACTTCCAAAGTATATAAAAAGCATTGCATGCTCCTCTAATATTTACTGGAAACTTCCCATCATTTTAAAATATTATACTTAAAAAGCACGTGCTATTCAAATGCACCTGTTTGGGCACAGGCATGTTACAGCATAGTAACATTTATGCTGCTTTTTCCCATCCTCATGAAGACTTCTGGATACTTTCCTAGCTCCCTGGAGCTACCGCCTGCCTCATCAAGTTCAGTCTGTGTTACAATTAATAGTGAAAAAGGCAACAGCTGGCAAAAGAAATGGCCTTCTTCATCAGAAACATAATAACCTTCAATGAAAGTAATGAGTAAATTGATAAGAGCAATGATAAATGAGGCCTGAAACATTATCTGAATAATCAATTACACAAGAAACAAAGAACATTCTGAAGGTGGTATAAAAGCCCATCGTATCAAACACAAAGATGGTTTCGTATAGCTTGAAAATAAAAATTAGAGAAATAATTCTGTAGTACAAATTTCATATGGACTTCAATGGGAAAAATATTCCAAACAACTGAGCACTTAGTATACAAAATAAGAATATCTTACGCCGCAAATGAAGGGTTTTTTTTACATTTGGGATGATCAGACTTTATGCACAGGTTTATGTACAGAAATTATCTCAGTGATCTGTTTTCTGGAAGAACATCTGATTGGTATCTCTCCTACTTTCTTTTAGAAGAGACTCTTATGACAACACTGCTCAGATTTTTGTTTAATTTTATTTTGCTGGCCATGAGAATTAGGGCTGAGTCAGCCGTGTACATTTATCATTCTGAGCTTTGAATTCATTGAATTGAAGTATATCTAAATTCAACATACTGTAGTCCATTTTATCAGTATATTAATATTTACCATATTCATATCTTTTGGAAATTATATTCTTTCTAATCTGACATTTTGAGACAAAACTACCCACCCAATCATATTTTAATTTATGAATCAACCACACTTTTACTATTGATACATCAAGCATGATAATTTTATGATCAATTCCTACAATAACAACCACTTTTATTTCTGTAAAAGGTGCTAAAATAAAAGTATTTTTATTTATTAACTGCCTCTTCAAAGTATTTCACAGCTGTCCAGAAATTTTACAACCTTATTTTAAATCCCAAACACAAATATCTTAGGTCTCCTGATATATTTTAAAATGATGCATTTTGACTGTAGAATAGACAAGTCTTGATTACTTTCAGAATAATTGAAGACGTTAGAGTGACCGTATCCCTATAAAACCTGGCCACAATTTGTGTAAGCCTTGCTAACAACTTCTTTTGTAATGGTTGTTTTTCCTGCAGAAGAGAGATCCAATATGCTATCCCAGTTTGTTAGTTCTCCTGTTTTATCTTCATTTCCCTTTTTCATTTATGTTCTCTCTATAGGAATGAAAGCCTACAGGAAAGGGTTGTTCTAGCTATTTTTTCCTAAAGTTCTCTATTTTTAAAAATATTTAACTTTTAAATAAAAAGACTGATGGTATTAAGTAGCAAGCACTAATTTCGTTTTAGAATGTACCCAACTTTTTATGCATTTGCTTTAGTTTCGTTATTTCTTGGCTTAATCAAGCCACAGTTTACTATTAAATCCAAACTGATAAACAATAGTTTATGTTAACTCTTTCCAAACAGGTTACTTAATCAGCTGAAGAACATGGTTTGCAGAATAGGCACATGCCATAAGTTACCAGTCTGGATCCAACAGCAAATCACAACCTGATCAATCAATGAAATAACTCAAAGAAATAAAACATGCAAAGAAAAAGTATGTGAGTATAAAGCTGGTTGCCACATGAAGAATGCCATGAACTTAACAGACAAGCTTTACACAAAAAATCTATAGCACCTACTGGTTTCATCCTCTCCACCTTAGATATAGTTTGTAAATCATAAGTATATCATTTTATAATATATCCAATCTTTGTGTTTCGTGTTCTCTAATTTGCTATTAACATGCAAGTCCACAATGCTATAGAGGTTAACGTCCAAGAGTTCTTTGAACAGGGAAATTTAGGGGGGATATGAAATCAGTTGCTTTTTCACAAATATTAAGAAGCAGCAGGAAAAATGATAATGAACTATAAAAAGAATTTCAAATCTATATTATAGATCTTTATCATGGATAATATTGTATGTTTGTCCAAGATGAGAAAGAAATTCAGAAAATATTATAGGTCTGCAAATAGCAAAATTGTAAAGAAACAGAAGGAACTGTCAGAGCCAGTGTCTCAACATGTAGTTAAAGAGAACCACTGAATATTAGATAACTCTCCTAAAGCCTATTTCTGTGGCCTTGAACAAAGTGCAGTGAAAGACATGCTTTATTTCTGATACTTTTAGTCTGAAAGAATTGAATATAACTTTGAAGAAAGGAAGAGGCAATGACAGAATTAATTACTAAAAACAAAGCAACAGCATATCTCTGCTTATTTTCTTCCAATTTCTTCAATGCTCAGAATTAAGGTCAATCCTTAACTGCTGCAGAGGAATTGGATATGAAACAATACCAGCTACCATTTCTCCATTAATATCTACTATAATTCATTTTATGCCATTCAAGTAATACATGTTTGTTGCTGACATTCCAAAGAAAGTCATACAATTGTTGGAAGTCACTTAAACATTTATATTCAGACTTTAGTGAAGTAGCAATCCAATTTTTAACAGGAATAGCTTCTTCAGATGAAGACTCTCCCCTCCCCTTCTCACTTTGGAGTGACTTCTTCAAAATGAAAAAATAATTTAGAATGAAAAAGTAGGAACAGTTGTCTTTTTGTTATGGTTGTTGTTGGACTGTGAATAAAAAAGAAGTGAGGTGTGAAGACTGAATTTACCACCTACACAATATTTTAAGTTTCTTGTGCTAATTTGTGACTTTTTAAAAAATTGTTCATGAACAAAACATTTAATTAAAAAATGTTCTATTTTTTCCTCAAAATAATACTGATTATTAAAACTAGCTAGCCAGAATAAGAATATTAGCCCAATTTAAAAGTTGATAACTATTCTACCACTGCATGGCAAAAATATTCTTCAAAATTTATAATTACTAAATTGGAGAGGAATCAGCTTGTAATGACTTAATAAGTACATACCTGTTTGCTTGATACTAAGATTATTACTACATTTTTGATGGAAATTATTCTGAAAAAAAATTGGGTAAATAATTGCTTTAAATTCTATATGCTTCTAAAAATGTAATCAGCATCTCACCACTAAGAATATGTTTTTCAGTCTGTATTTATTCTATAAATAAAAACTATATAATCCAAAGCAACTCAAGGCAACATACAAAAAAGGATTAAAAAACCCTTTGTCAATAAAACAAGATTTTTACATTTCTCCTTTTCAACTGACAATAGCCCCTAAGCCATTTTTAACACATTTGCTTATACATTCTGTACGCTACAAAATATGAGGAGCAAACAAATCATAGGCAGTCTGTTTTCTGAACAAACTGACCTTGCCCCTCAGAATGAAGCAAGGTTATAGCAGCTAAGTTGCATGATCAGATAAAATGCACACATGCATATTTTCTCCCACCCCCGCACTCCCACCTACAAAATAGTTTGATAAACTGAGTCCAACACAGTTGCAAGAAATGAAAGAATTAATGAATGAATGCAACTGATAAGAATTCCAAGTGCAATATTGCTTTCCCTGTTCAAACACTGCTTAAGTCTAAGCAACAATAATGGTAAACAATATAAGCCAATTTTGTGGTTGCTCTCTGGATCTTTTAATGGACTGTTACAAGGAATGTAAAATGGCAGGTAGCAGTGAGTGAAGCATGTTTAAAAAAGTTTCTTCCTGTCTCTAGTTGGAAGGAAGGAAGGAAGGAAGGAAGGAAGGAAGGAAGGAAGGAAGGAAGGAAGGAAGGAAGGAAGGAAGGAAGGAAGGAAG